ARRAAAAAAGTCTCAAAAGTCACATTCACAGATGAGATATTCTGTGTGCTTACAAATGTTGTGTACTCAAATAATTTTGAAACCAATGCTCAGATGGATTGGATTTTGGATTTTCTTCTTACCGCCAGTGTCACTTTTCCTCGCTGACTTGGATATCCCAAAAGACTTCAGGTCATAGAYGTAGACAGGATTGGGTTAGGACAGGTGTATTGCTCAGTTTTAATTCATTCAGTATACTACGCTTTAGCTTTGGTGCAAAGAGCTCTACAAACAAGGACTTACCATGCCACCATCTTGCCAGCTCCCTAAAAATAGATGTTTGATGGAGAGAGCTGAATATTAAAAGAGATGTAAACATCATCTCTGTGTCTAAATGGTCCAACTCAAAACAGAACAGGGTTTCTGCACATTTCCCATTTTATTTGTCCAGAATCAAGTTCACAGATTTCTCAGTCAATTTTCAGTTCATTTTTAACCATAAACATGTACTGTTAATGTACAGTAAATGTTTACAGTTGTAGATGGAATAAAAAGTAATGTTTTTTTTTCTTTGCTCCAAACTTCATGAAAAAAAGAGAGCAAACACAAAAAATGGATAGTGTAGAAAAGCAGAATAAAATCTAATTTTTTCTTGTGAGTAAATATTTATAGTCAGTTCAAATCTTTAAATATAACAATCATTTTATAAAGCTGTTGTTTTTGCTACACTAAATGGCTTGGCAAACTGCAAAAAATGACATGCAGCATCTGGTAAATAGTCAGCACCTATAAAGAACAAAGTGCTTTACAGTGTGTTGTGAGTTGCATATTAAATATGTTCACCATCACATCAACTCATTTGACTCTCAGATCAGTTGTGTGTACATCTTAAAAGATAAAGGAGTATTTTCTCAGTATGACTGAGTTTTCTACAGAGTTGATGCCAGTGTTACCTGGTACTTAAAATATTTTAAGTTAATAATGAAAATCACAACAGAGATTTGATTTCCACTTCAAATGTTTTTTTTAAACTAATGAAAAAATTTTTTTTACTGTTGAGGCACTTTAAACCAGGGAAGCAAAGGGACCTCATTATGTGCTCAGGTTGTGAAACAATGCCTGCATTGTAATTTAGTACTTTTTCAATTGTTTTAAAAGACATTTAAAGGGGAAGCCAAGCGTCTATCATGATTTTCATTAYTAACTCTGAAAGAACATAGGGATGGCCGCGCACCTTCATTATATCACACTGGATTATAAGACAGAGTACTGGTTGTAAAAAATTTTTTTCTTGTAAGATGACAGCAGAAGTCACTGGTCAGTGCAAGCACATCCTGTTTGATAAAAGGAAATCTTAATGGAAGCAACAAAAGAAAAGCTGTGATTACCAAAGACTGTTCTTCACAAAAAAATAAAAAATAAATAAAAGCAGCAAATTTAAATAACAACCAATATTTAAACATGAAACAATGTGTGTTAAACTGAAAAACCATTTAATCCAAGTATCATTAAAACTTAAAATCCAGCATTTAATTTAATTATTGCACATAATCTCAGTTTTCACAACTGGTTTTGCAGTTTAAAAAATGTAATATATTTACATCCCCTGGCTTGTAAGTCATGACATTTTAAAGTGTTCATTCTGTGAATGAACATGGCACATAAAAAAATGACAATTTAGAAAATACCAGCAGGTATTTATTAAAATCTGTTGGTTCTGTGATTTACTGAGTTTCATCTTAAGTTTGAGAGCTTACACAACTTTTCCAGCCTCTAATGAAGTTTTCTTCATTGGTCCTTTCAGTTTATCCTCTTTAGATTCTGATCCGTTGTCTTTATTCATGTCCGTCAGCTCTTGTTGTTCCTCTCACAGTTTTTTGTTGTCTTTTTGTATAGTGCTGTGGAAGTGGATCTTATGGTAGAGATGATTCCTTACCACATTCGATCAAGTTTTCCTGGTTTTATACTTCTACTGTTTTGGAATAAATCTTGGCATATATTGCATCGAGCTGACTTTGCAAGGCATGGAACGAAGGTCTTTTTGAGGGCTCAGCAGCCCAGCAGTCCAACATAATCCGGTAAATATTCTGAGGACAGCGAGGTGGGCATGACAGCCGTAACCCTGATGATAAAATGTCCAACACTTCCTTGTTACTTTTCCCTGAAGACATGGAGACAGAAAGAGACAGGGATGAAACAAAAACACTTGCCTCAATTAATGTTTTTTTTCCACCTACTGTATACTGCAATATTATACTTTCATAACCAAGTTACCAAGTGCCACTCTCATTCTATTGGCAGTCTATTTCACTTAATCAGTGTACATTGCCAATGCAATGCACACTATTGTGATTCGTTTCCCATCCGAGTCATCTCAACTTTGCCATGCTTCTCCTCCTGCATACTTTGTCCTAGAGCTGCCATTGTAATTTATATCTGTAAAGCCCCTGTGCCAAATGATGGCTATGCCTTTTGGTGCCTGTAAAACTTAGTTTTTGAAATATTAATGTTTAATAAATTATAATGGCAGTCAATGGAGCCTTGTATTGGTCCAATACTGGCCCCTGCTGCATCTACACAATATGGTACTGCACCATAGTTTCACAATATTTAAACTCAGTAGTTCAGTTGTTACAATATTAATATGATTGTATTTTGATGTTTTACTGTAATATTGTCTTAATATTGTCCAATTGTTGCAATATATTGCAGTTTAGTGTCAAAGATTGCATTGGCAATGTGGCCTCTTTCTGCACACATACAAACCAACCCCTGTCACCACCCTCTGCCACAGCTCCAACAGTCTAATGGTCTATATCATGGACTTACGTGCGGGAGATCAGAGTTCAAAACCCAGCTAAAGCAACTTTAACAAAAAATCTCATCAAATTTAATATTGTCACACAATTACCTTAATTCTAAACACCTGATGATGTGACTGGCACAAACTGGTATAGAAAACACATTTGAACTTGGTCAAAGTTCATTCTGTAAGTCCAATGCTGCAGGCAAAGCCATGCTACAWGGCAATGCACACTTGTTTTTACATCGTAAAAACCCATGTCTAGTTTCATMTGAATTTTCTCAAATTTCTCAAATTAAATGAAATAATCTGAAAATGAAATGAGACAATTGCAAATCTTGAAATTAGAAAAATTTCCATACTAACAAGATAAATAATCAAACAGTCTGCTCTTGATTAAAAGTCTCAAAACAAGATGAAAAAGACTTGGTTAGATGGACAGTTTTTACAGTGTGCTGGCTGACACAATGTGTAAAGAATTGTAAAGTGAACTGTGCTCAAGATACAAAAAGTTTMGAAAACACTGCACATCATGCTTGAGTGGGGATGGATAAAGAATCCATAGGAGCGGAGGCCTCATAAGCCCATTATTCTCCACAAAAAGACAAAAAGACACTGGTCTTTATTCAAACCTTCTCATCCCTCGGATGAAGGACACMAGGTTAGAAACACTCAGTGTTCTGAGCTTCTCGGGATCCATAAAGGGATCCCCAAGAATTCTTTTCCTTTGACTGCTCAGAGCCAGGCAGTGGTCTAAGTAGAGCAAAGAGGTCTCTGATTCAATGCCACAGGCATCACACAGACCACTGTCATGGAGTCCCATCACCATTTTGTAGCGGTTGAGCAGCTTGTGCCCAGTTAGGACTCCAACCAGTGTAGCCTACTTAGAGTTTTCATTGACAGGGAGATGAGAGCTTTCCCAAAACTTTTATGTGGGCCATTTATCAGACAGGCTTAGTTTTAAATGTTTCTGTCACTGATCTTTCTAAAAAAACAAAAATTATGCCCGGTTCACGCGGCAAGATAATTGTAAGGATTTTTGTTCAGATTTTATCTTTCTGACAATCTTAAGGACACTCTAGTCATCCTGATAGCTCTAAAGATATGCCTGTCATGTTTGGTGTGTTCACTTTGCTGTGTGGCTGTACACCACACACTGTAAGACCAAACCTGTTATATCTAGGTTTTTTTTTAATCCTCATGTGTGAGGTCTCTCAGGCTTTGAAAACCAGCTGACAATTATAAAATCTTGCTGAGTGAACAAGGCATTAAAAACACTAAGACCCCATTCACATTGGATGATGACCCTGCTGTCCTCTCTACGAACTACATGATCTAATCCTACATGCTTCAACTGCAATCACTGCCTCTCTTCAAATAATAAATCATTATAAAAAATTATGATGCAGAAAACCTCACCTGGGATTCAAACCATGAATCTTCTTGTTGCGATACAAAAAGAAGATTCAGCCACAAGAAAACTGTGCCCCAACTTAAAGCTACATAACTCCACATTCCAGGTGGTCTTCCAGTCAGTACTAATTATGCCCAACAGTTGTTTGGTTCTGATATTAGAGCAGGCTTACATATGGTTATTCATGTTATTCAGAAAGCACCAGTTTTCAAAAATCTCTCAACCAAGCTCCATGTTATATCAAAGACCTGTTGTTCCATATTATCCATATCCATATTAGTGAGGCAGAAAAACTTAATGCATTTGTTACTTGTACTGTGACGGTTCTGGTTTTTATTGTAGAGCAGGGCTTTTCATCAAAATTTCTCCGGGGGCCACAGTTACTGCCAGTCAACAGCTGAGGGGCCGAACATCCAGCAATTAAAGTTATTATGTAAATAAACCAAGTATTATGAAGATCTGTTACCATTGAATTAGTTTAGTTTGCTGCATTTAATAATGAATACAACATACAGAACCCTATAAAAGTAATAATTATACATTATCAAAAACAAAAAGAACACATTATGCCTCCTATTATTAGACAAATAATATTTTGACATCTCTGACTTGCCAAATTTTTAAACCAATTTTATTTTCACTTTCATCATTTTATCTTCAACTGATTGTAGTTTTAACTGTCTTGAATGTTTATAGAAAAGGTTTTTACCAGCTTCTAGCCAAGTTTCTGACGTTTCTGTAGATACCAAACATGTCTAAGTTTAACTAAAAGAACTTAGAGTAATTAAAGTAGAAAATCAGGGGTTTGGGCTTAAGAGATGAATGAACCAATTTGCGGGCCGAACTTTGGTCATTCGCGGTCCGGATGTGGCCCGCGGGCCGCCAGTTGAATAGCCCTGTTGTAGAGTTCATTGCTATTATTGTGAAAAATTAAGCTGGGTGCCGGCCAGGTATCCCTCCTGACATGTAGGATGTTTTTAACCAGCTTATTGAGATTTTACTGTTGTTAGAGTTGTTTAGTTTAACCAGACACACAAGGACATGTAAAGTATAATAAAAATTATAAACACACACCTTTAAATAAGTACTAAGAGACTAAATGTTTTAAACAAAGGAAGTGAGCACAGAAACAAGGAATTAAGTTTTTTGGTATGTATTATTTACAAAACAAAATGAAATACAGTGGTTTGCAAAAGTATTCATACCCCTTGAACTTTTCCATATTTTGTCACATTACAACCACAAACATAAATATATTTCACTGGAATTTAATGTGAAAGACCAACAC